GGACTTTCTTCCGAAAATGAAAATGAAGGAAATATTTGTGGTATTTTACCTTATGTTGCACCTGAAGTTTTAATGGGAAAACCATTCACACAGGCAGCTGATATCTACAGTCTTGGAATCATCATGACAGAAATATCTACCGGAAAAAGAGCCTTGGACGGTGAAACGTTTGATTTTCGACTTGGAATAAAAATTTGTGATAAAAAAAACCCTTTAAGGCCAGAATTTGCATTTGGAACACCAAATTGTTACATTGAATTAGCTAAAAGATGCATGGACAAAGAACCGAGTAAAAGACCTAATGCAACTGTAATTAGTGGTAGAATCATTTATTGGTTAGACGAGATAGAACAAGATAATAATAACGAAGTCAAAAAACAATTTTTAGAAGCCGACAAAATCAAACCAAAATTAATCGATCCAAAGCATCCGAATCAAATATACACTAGCAAACTAATAGATGTGAATCAAATCTCTGAAGGATTATCTAAATTAATGATTCCTGGTATTTAAATGAAGACTTTAATTTTAATATTAAGGCATATAATAACATATGTTGTGCATAATTATTTTTTATTATTTTTTTATGCAACAAAAATTTTAAGTAATGACGATAACAGATAATCTCTGATAAATAGTCTTTCAATATATATCGATATTTTACTAGATTTCCATGATCAAAAATTTGTCTGCAACGTAGTGAGCAGTGCACTTTTTTGGCGGACCTTAATCATAATATAAGGGCATATGGGGGTGAGTCAGTAGAAACGCACCAAATTTTTTCTAAGTGAATTTTTTTGAAACTTTAAATCCAAATAACTTAGCAAGGACTTAACCATATTTAATAATTTTTTTTAAAATTAATTCTAAAATCTTATAGAATTTATTTAAAAAATTTTTTATTAAATTTGAATGATTTCTTGTCAAGTTACCTTGTTTAAAGTTGCAGAAATATTTTCACTAAAAAAGATTTGGTGCGTTTCTAATGACTCACCCCCATATGGATTATAAGCTTTTAGCAAACTGTCTATCTTTTTAAACCCTTTTTTTTTTTTATACCGCATCTCTGATATAAATTTTTTGGATTATGATATCAAACTTTGCAAAATAATATACGTTATTTAATAATAGTGTATTATTTATTCTTTACTCAAATTATTTATTACATTATTTATGTTCGCAAATCACTTAATATATCAAAATTTTCTTTCATATTTCTTAACTTTTTGTAATTCAAGCAAAAATAAAATGAATTTTATTTTGGTTAAAATTGATTACACTGTATATTACCGTGTTAAAGCTGCATTTAAATTAAATTCAGTGACATGTAAATCATCGGGACTCAAAGAACTAAGGAATTCATGTTTAATTCTAAATTGACACTAATCACTTTTGAATCTTAATTTGACATATGTTATATCATGTATCATACTGATAAAAAAAAAAAATTAGAAACGTTAAATTTTTATTCCAGCGCTATAAGTTTACTTTATTTTTACACCATGGTTGCAATGACAGTTGTTGTATATTTTGTTTGTTTTGAATCATTGTATAGTGGTCACGTCAAATTTGCTCGGGGTAAACTTTAACTTGTCGATAATATTTTACCATAAACTTGAATTTCGAGTAATTTTGGCCCAATAACTATATATATATATAAACTAAGGTACAGTATATTCACATGTTAATACTTAATATAGGCATTTTATTACCTAATTCGTGTAATTTACAACATAAAACCCGTTCGTACATCACTTACATATAATATATAACACATTATTCAGAACTTTCAAGAAGTACAGCGTTCGTGTGACCAACATTATCGAAATTCACACTAACTCCAATTCTGGCTATGTCAATAATTAATTTTTATTAAATTTATTTTCGTAAACTGCTGACTTGTGAATGTTGTTAAATTTGCAAGATCACTTCATTTGCCTTTCTGAAATGATTTTTCCAAGTCGTTTGAATTGTCATTTAAAGTCATTTGAAAAGTGGCTTTCATTTAACAACACTGTTTATAAGGGCAAAGAGCGGTGTCTATATCTTGAGAAATTAATTTGAAGATTGGCAGATACAGTATTAGCCATTATGCTATTTTTCTTATCGTTATGTATATACTGAATTATTACTATATTGTGATTACAATCGTAATAGTACTATAGAAGGAAATAATTATAGTAGGTGTGGATTTTCATCGGGCTTTACGTTTACATTTCAAAGCTGCAAATTATAGATTGACCATTCATACAAGATGCAGTAAAGGCTGTATATTTTACGCTTGCCCGCTTTGTAATAAAAGACAAAATCTTTAGGCATATTAATTATTATAAATATATATAAGTATCTTTTTTTTTTCTCAATAAAAGAGGACAGAATCAAATTAGATCAAGTTTCGTTCTCTCTAAAAAATATCAAAATATCGAAGCCTCTAATCACACACACAAATTACCTATCATCCTTTCGACCGGCTAAGCCAATAAAATTTTATCGGCTTAGTTGATTTTTTTAAAAAATTTCGGAATCCTTTGAAAATTATTGAGTTCGTTCATTTTCCACATCGGATCTTTTAGGAATGTAATAATCCTATAAATAAAATCGATCAGTCGATTTTGAAAAAATCGACCGGCTAATACTATCGGTTAGGGTCACTATGAGAGCCTATCATAAGCCGATTTCGGACCGAAATATTTTTTAATCATAGATTCCGCGCCATTGCTGAATAGGTATTGGCAATATTACGTATTTTTACCTTTTTTAGCATGCCAACCAAGAATGTACACTTTTATATGGGTTGAAAAATCATCTAATGGCATTTAATTGTATCGATATGCAAAATTAAAGTTCAAATAAACATGTACATTTCCAAACTTTTGTTTGCATACATTAACAATTGGATATCAATAAAAGTACTCGGGTAGTTCTCGTACTCACGTATGTACATACTAATACTGTACAGTGGCTCCCCCCCAAAAAAATGCATCACCTGAAAACAAAATTTTGAGCTCTCATATCTTTCCAACAACAAGTTATTTTGAAATAAATTCTTTTTTATTTAATTGGCATAAACTCATAATATTTTAATGCTAAAATTTCAGCGAAATTGAATCACACAATCTCGATCTGCATTACGATTTGTCAAATTTTGACGATGCATTTTTTTTTTTTTTTTTTGAGAACCTTAATTAAAATATAATAGTGATTTTAACTTTGAGCAAGAATATTACCAACAGGAGCCCAGATAATTTTAGTTTAAAGTTATCAAATTGTTATATAGGTTTTTGGTATTTAAAAATATTATTGGGCATTAAAATTCGTTGGGTCCTCATCAAGGTATATGCAATTTTAGCTAAACGAAACATTGTGATTAAAAATTTCATAATAAATTACTATTAAATTTTTAATCACGATGTTTTGTTTGGCTAAAATTGCATACACCTCCAACCGATTTTAATGTTCAAGGATATTTTTATATGCCAAAACCTATGTAACAATCTGATAACTTTAAACTAAAATTATCTGGGCTCCTGTTGGTAATATTCTTGCTCAAAGTTAAAATCACTATTATATTTTTATTAAAGCTCTCAAAAAAAAATGCATCGCCAAAATTTGACAAATCATAATGCAGATCGAGATAGTGTGATTCAATTTCGCTGAAATTTTAGCATTAAATTATTGAGTTTATGCCAATTAAACAAAAAAGAATTTATTTCAAATAACTTGTTGTTGGAGAGATATGCGAGCTCAAAATTTTGTATTCAGGTGATGCATTTTTTTTGGGAGCCACTATATGTACAGTAAAGGGGGCACAAGTACGTAAGCATCTTATACCCAGTCTAAAAATGGTTTTTAGGCACTAATGTCCGGCAGATCCCTAATAGGTGCTTATATTTTATGTAAACTAAAAAATTACATGAAGTGCTGTACATAAATAAAAATTAAATTGTTAGATAATACAGTATATATTAACATGATATAAAAATTGAGAGTTCCTGTATCGGAAATATCACATTTCTAAATTGGTCATTAGAATCCATCACTGGGTTGAATATGGTTGGGTATCTGTGTAGTTATGGTTTGAATGTAATCACAGTCCGAGCTGAACAATAATACAGCTATAAAATTGGATCGAGTTTAGACTAATTGTGTATATAATAAATATCTCTAGTCTGAACCTAAGTTGAACCGTTTGAAGAATATATTACATGATATTTTTACTGGATTCTCTCACGTGTTGTGGCATTTTTTGAATTTAACAGGAACATATGGTTGAGTTCTGGGAGTCTCAATCCATGTTCTTTATTCCGGAGAGCAAAGCCATTACTATCTTGCTTTGTTTTAATCGATCACATGAAATTAGATAATCTATGAAAGACTTACGTACTTTGATTTTAGATTCTCTCACGTGTTGTGGCGTCTTTTAAATATTAACAGGAACAATGTCTGAGATCCGTAAGCCTCAATGCATGCTCTAATACGTATTCCAGAGAATAATAAGAGATCATTACTACCTTACTTTGTTTTAATCAACTATTGGAAATTAGGTAATCTATGAAGAGTAGAATGTACTATAACTGATACCAATAAGTGCGTGCGTACAGTACCTACATGCAAATTTGGATAGTTTTTGTCATTGTTTCAAAATAAGTAAATTTTTCAAAAAAAAGTAATGATTTTCTTGAGTTTATAAAAATGATTTCACCTTGCCACGTCAGTCAGTTGGTTCAAAATTTTAGGTTTTCCGGAAATGTTATGCAAAGTTTTTAAGCTAGATGATGTGATCATACTGCAGTTTGTTTTCCGGTTCTCCAAAAGATACTGGGAACTGGTCATTATAGCCTTTGTTGTACAAAATCGTAAGGACAGCAACTGCATGCTAGATCAACCAAAATGTTTTTTTTTAAAAAATAAAAACAAATCAATTAGTATACGAATGCAAATTTTTTTTATTTAAAGGCAATGCCGCCTTTAATCTTGAATCCTTATAAAAAAAATCAGTGATGACTTCTTCAAAAAAATCAGTTGGTGTTCAATTCGCGTTGAACATCACACCAGGGATGGGAATCCTTAACTCCTCTTATGAACATTCATTTTACGATGAATTGTTAAGCATGAATCCTCCACCTTACAAATTAACTATAAAAGTAGATGAATTAATTGCACCAGCGAATAATTCTCGACGTTCTACGCAACATAGAAGAAATCCAATAGCATTCGCACCACCAAGACCGCCTAATGCGTTCGTTTTATTTCGAAAAGATTATTTCGCGAAATATAAAAGTAACGAACAGAAAATAAATAATACAAATATATCACGTCTTGCTTCGATAGAATGGAAGGCTCAACCCCCGTCTGTTCGTTATTATTTCTACATTCTATTTGAAGCAGCAAAAGAAAAACATCGTGAATTATATCCTGGATATAAATACGACCCCAGGAAAAACAAAAAAAATAAACAAAGTAACATTTCAAATAAAAAGAAAAAAAACACCTCCAACAATAAAACGCGCAAAAATATCGAAACCGAATTAGTTTTGGAAACAGAGCGATCTTGGAATTCAAATAACGAAAATTTCCAAATAGTCGACTCTAATTTTTCAGAGTATCTTAACATTCCCGTAATAAATAATGAAATGAACTCTGAAAATAATACATATAATTTCGATAATAATTGTTCGAATCTCAAAAGTGTTGATTCTATAAATGAAATCGAAATCGCGAATAAAATGTTCGAAGAATATATCGATATCTAGTTGTAAATGCATTTTATTTTAGAGTAACTTTAATTTTCCGATTTTAAGATTATCTATGCCTATCGACACTTTTCTATACTTGGAAAAAACAATATAACCTTATGATGATATCATGATATTTTCATATTATTTTTTAAGATAAATTTATAGTTTATTCTTTTTATGCTTTTATGTATTATTCAAGATATACTGTATATTATCCCGTTAAAAAAAAAAAAAAAAAAAAACGTAAGGTGCAATTAAGAAAAAATTAATAAAAAATATAAGTTAGGGTTTTTAAAGAATTTTTAATAATATTGAATATTTAAAAAAGTTTTATAATTAAGCTTTATATAATTAGGTATAAATTACAGGTATTACCCCGTTGGGTACGGTACAGTCTTAGGTATTGGGTACGGTACAGTGTATTATTGATGTGCTTATACGTACCTAGTAATTTTTGTGTACCCACTAGGTACGCAAAATATTATAGTACTAAGCGGTACTATTCTAACAAACTGTACCTAGTTGAAAATTTTTTTTTCTAGGTACGGTACAGTTTAAATTTATTATTTACAAATAATTAATGAAGGGTGTGACCAATCATTATGTGATGAATAGCTGATATTTGTCACATACTATTTGTTATGACTATGATTGGTCACACCCTTAATTAATTATTTGTGAAAATACAGCTGACCCTCCCAAAACCGATCCTGTCAAAATCGATCAAAAATTGATCCACTAAGTCTGTTCCATATTTAATTTCTTATAACCTGCCATTTCTGATATTCAATAGTCCTAATATTGTAGTTTTTCCGATAGAATCTGTGCTTGTTTTTGGTTCGTTTGAACCAAAATGGTCTTATTCTGGGTTTATTTGAACCAGACCCAGGTTCAAACGATCCTATTCCGGGTTCAAATAATCCTATTCCGGTTCATTTGAACCCAACTCGGATTCAAATGTTTCCATTTCAGGTTATTTGAACCCAACCTAGGTGATCCTATTCCAGTTTATTTGAACTAAACCTGAGTTCAATGATTCTATTCTGGTTTATACATATTAGTTTAAAGAGATTTTATAGAATAAACTTAGAATAGAGATATAAGAGTTGAAGTTTATACCTTAGTTCTATTAGCAAAAAACACTAATGCTAGCTTATTATGTTTTTCTTGTCTTCATAAAGAATTAAAGAATCTTAATGTATTATTTAAGATAATCAAAGCTATAAAATTTCTAGATATTACAGAAGATGCTAACAAAATCTAGAGTATCAATTAGAAAAAAGCTAAAGCTAAACATATCAATTATTCAAATGAATTGATATTAGAATTAGTTAAAGAAAGATTAGATATATATAATATTAAAATTTTATTTAATTGTTAGACTCTTGCTAATATTATAGTAATACTTTGTATTTATCTTGCTAAACTTAAAACTTTATGTATTACAGATTCTAGAGTAATAGGTTATGTGAAGAATCAAGATCAGCTAGATATTTTTAGAAAATTTAATTAAAAACAAGCTAAAGAACTACTTACTTTAATTTAGTATACTATATTATTTAGCAAATAGGTGATCTAAATAAGCCAAAAGTTAAATAGTTCGATAAATTCTTAAAAGATTATAATTTAATTTCTAAATATTTATATAAATTAGAAGCAGTTTACAGTATAGTAGTGTATAAAATTAAAAATCTATACTTATATTATTTTTAGAGAATATTTATATTACAACCTTAATAATTATACTTCTTCAGTATAGAATTATGTTGTAGTAAATTATCAGAAAAAAGAACAAACTCTAGAGCAAATAAAACTGTTTTAAATCTATGATACAGATTAATAGATTAGTAATTAAATAAATCAATCTTTATTTTTTTTTTTTTATTATTAAAATTGTTTCTTTGGCTAATTAGATTTTATTAATTTGTTATTATAGAGTTACTAAAATAGTAATCTCTTAAGATTTTATAATTATATAATAAGTATATAAAAAGCTATATATATAACTTTAGTTCTTATCTAATTTAAATAGTCTGCTATACAGATGATCAACTATCTGTTAGTTCTACACTATACTACTATACCTGCAATCTATTTGTAAGTTACTTATTTAAATACTCTAATCATTAACTCTTCTCTCTATTTTAAATTAATATCACTACTATATTTAACTGCTTAAGTTAGCTAACTTGCTTGTAGATCTATTTACTGCATAACTTAGATCCTCTTAGAATATATATTTGCTTAATATATTGTAAGTATACAGAGCTCTAGTTAATCTTAGAAGTGATTTCTACTAGAGTAGTTATATATCTATTTCACAGATTTATCTGAATTAAACTCTTGTCAATATTTATACAAACCTAGTTTCTGCTATAGCTTTCTATCAAATTAGTCTTCTAAGATTCTAGTTAGATGTTTTACAAGATAGATTCTTCCAATCTAATTAGCTACTAAGCCAAGTTAGTATTGTTACTAATATAAAATACTAGACTATATTATATAGTAAACTTACATGTATCTATTTAATCTATATTTTTTATATACAGATTTCTTTATTAGATTAAACATTAACTAGTATAACTATTAAAATCTATACTACTTTATTAAACTCAGGATTTCTACTATGCAGATCTTCTGCTCATAGATTCTTTCAAGATTTATTCATATAATATAACTCAAATATTATATTATATTTCTAATATTTAATTAATATTAGTGCAATATAATTTACAGAGCTGTAATCTCTAGAAATAAACAGAGTTTACTATAAGTTAAATACAAAAGTCTAGATAATTATTTAAATTTATTAATAGTAAGATTTAAACTCTAGACTTCTTGTATAATAGTTTAGTAATCTAACTACTATATTAAGATTACTAGACCTTAAATTGATTTTTATTATATATTATTATATTTAGTTTTTTTTTTTTCTAGTAATCATGCTAATACTTTATTTAATTAATAATTTTAATCTACGACTAAAATATTTCTATCTAGTATATATTACTATCTAGTGACTATTACTAAGTATTAACTTACTTAGTTACCATTATAGTACCTAAGTGTGATCTGCTATAATGATCTTTGACCTCTTTACCTTCAGACTCATAAACTGAACAACTAAAAGTATCTCGAAGGAAGGATGCTACAGCTTATCATATTTGCTAATTATGTCTATAGACCTTTTTTCCCTTTTACGATTCCCTCTAACAAACTACCTTTCACTAATTTAAAGTCTAAACTTGATACCCTACTATTTTTATCTACTCAGTCTTCATCTAGTATATTCTGGCTTGTTTTGTTTATCTTTTTCCTTTTGTTCCTTTCTCTTGTTTTCCTTATTTTGCTATCTTTCTTGTCCTTTAGTAATATTTCTTCCTCTTTCTCCCAATTATTCATATCTGTACATCTTGAGATCCAGACTTCTAAGTATACATATTCTATCTATAGATTCCAGAACATGCATCAGAATTTTATAGTAGATTTCTCTGTACCAATTACTTCCTTTAATTTTCTAGCAATATTTTTATTTAGGATTCCTTGCAGCCATTCGATATTTTGAGTTTGTTTTTCTTTTTCAGATATCTTTGTTATGATCTGTGTTAATTTGTAGAGATCTCAACTTTCTTCTCTTCTCTTGTTATTTTGCATCTTTTTTCAAACTTCTTTGCTTATTATTGCTAGTGCCTCTTGTGCCTTTTCACAGTAGATAATATGTTCATCTGATTCTGGTTCAATAAAACACCTTTTATATATACTGTCTTTGTATATATTCAGTTTTCTATTATTTAATGTTTTGACAGTAGGGAGCAGATTTTCAATATACTTTACTTTAAATATACATAAGTGATTTGCTTTTATACTTCTACTCTGCTACTTATAACAACTTCTTAACAAGCCTTTGAATGCTTTCTAATTTTGACTTTTAAGACGATGCTGATGCTAGATATCATTTTTTTTCCTTAACCAAGTTCATTCTGCCTTGTATATTGTTTGAACTAACTTTTTAATAAATGTTCTTAGTAGTGTGTCTAATTTGCAACCTTTCTACTTTGGAACAAACTTAATATTTTTAACACTGATATTATTGACTTCTAGCAATATATCTCTATTTGTACCTTCTTTTGCTAGCTGATTTGCTATGTCATTATATAGATCACCTGAGTGCACTTTTACTTTGGTCAGCTCTAGTTGTATTCTCTTGCTTCTGCAAGCTTTGACTATTGCTTGTAAAAGGCTATTGTTTTTGGTTTTAAGCCAGTATCTTGTGCTTTTATTCTTCAGGCTTTCTGTTATTGCTAATATTGCATATGTGCTATCTATACATATTTATATACTGCATTCATTTGGTACTATTAATACTACTATTAAACATGCTACTAACTCCACTCGAGTTGATGAGAACCAGTTTCCAATTCTACCCTTGTGACTACATACTACTTCATTTTGCTTGTTTATCTATAATATACTATATTCTATTTTTTGCTTTGCATCCTCTCTTTGCAATGACCTATCAGTATATACTACTATCTTTTTTCTCCCTATATTTTTTCTGAGACTATTACCTAGTTCTGTTCTAATGCTTTCTTCGTTAATTATCTGCTTTATTAATTCTACACCCCAATTGTCTTCTACTATTACTCTCTCGAGACTTATGAGCTCTTTTACTTTATTATACCTTACTGTTCTCTTTTCTTTTTCATTTCTTCTAAGTAGCTTCTTCTTGTTTGCTATTATATATATATCACTTTCTTTCTTTCGAATTAAATTTGAGATGTCTTGCACTTCCTTTAACTCTACTCATCTTCTAATATCTTCTTTCTTTAGTATTTTGAAATCTTCTTTATACTTTTCTGTTTGTTGTATTTTGTTTTCTTTATCTTCCTCCTATACTTCTACTTCTGCTGTTTTTCTACTTTTTCTCATAATATATTCAAATTCTCTTTTTTTACCTGTATCTGTCTCGAACAAGATCCACTCTCTTTTTCTTTTATCTTTGGATACCTTTTCTCTCTTATGCTCGATTTGTAAGCCTTCTTCTCCTTTAAACTCCTCTTTAATTCTTCTTGAACGCATATCTTCAATTACTTCTTTTTCTAATGTTGCAAACCATTTAGCTTTTTTCTCTACACGTTTCTTCTTTAAGACTTTAAATTGTCTCTAAGTTATCATATGTTCTTTTCTGTGATCAAGAAGCTAATTTAAATACCAAATATTTAGCCTGCTAGCTTCGATTATGCTCTTTCTCTTTTTAACCTTTCTGAAAATATTTTTCCCTAGCAAATCTTTTCTTCTATTTGATTCTAAAATGTTCTAGCTTTCAGTGTCTATACTGTTGGAGACTATAAATCTGAGTTTCTTAGCTAAATATAATGTTTTAGCACCTAAATTTTTAATACTAGAATCTTTCCAATTGTTGTTTTGTGCTAATAGAATACACTCAACTGAGTTTATTTCTTATTGATATTGTTTGAATCGTATATTAGTTGTATTATCTAAAAGGCTATTTGAATTTATACGTATGAATAACTCAGATATATAATACTCTATATGCTTCTGCCATAAATTCATAATTCTGAAGATTTCTCTGTATAGAATTGTTGCATTTGCACAAATAACTGGTAATTCAGCTTTTTGCTTTAATAGTCTAAGAAATAGTTGGTGTATTGCATCATATTTCTTTTGCTCTATTAATGTATTCAATAGAATATACTCTAATTTAAGTAATAGTACTATGTTGTTTATATATATTATCTGATTGACTGATAGTTTTTTTATTCTTAACGTGCTGTTATACTACCTACTACTTTTTTGCATTAGCTTATGCCTACTTTTTCTTAGCTTTTAAGATTAATCCAAACTCCTAAAAATCTTGTGCTTTCTCCTATTTTCTTAACTTCAACGTACTCTGGTGGTGTTTCTATCCATATACTATCTGATACTTTGAATTTTATGCCTGGTCTCTATGCAATTATCTCAGATTTTGCTCTATTGATCTCTATATTATTCAGCTTAAAGAACTTATTAGATATATTTACAATGTTCTGCAGTGAGTCTTTAGATGATGCGACATATGTAGTATCATCTGCATAGGCTAGTGCTAAGACCTCAATAGTTTCCTTCTTTACAATATTTTTACTTATATCTGATAGCCAATTCAGATACATTTGGTATCCTAGTTTTGCTTGTTGTATACGTACTAGTAGTGAATCATAAAAAATTCTTCACATCAGAGGTGAGATAACTTCTCCTTGGTCTATT